TCAAGTAATGAATACATTATATATTATTACCTCGAATTTGATTGCATTGAACTATCTCAGAACATAGATTAATATATAATTATAGTTAACACTATATACATTTTATATATATTTAGGTTATCACTATTAATCTAATATAATCTTGAACATGTGTATTCATACATTGATTGTATAGCACACATAATATATATATCCTTTCTAACTTGTGTAGAGTAATATTTGCCACATCATTGACAATTACCTGTATTGCTTGAAACTATTCCAGTAACATAGCACAAATGAAGTTGAACCATATATAATGCTACACCACACACACGTTAACAATGACAACAATGTCTGTAAAGTAATTTAAATTCTTCCAGCGTATATCCACTTCAAATGCGACTTATGCAACACTGCTGCTGCCTCGGTATTGGTATAAACACGTAACAAGTGTAATCCCAACATAAACCCCCAAGTCATATATATGCAGCACATACACATATAGTGGTTCCTGTGATAGAATGAGAGACCTGCAAAACTTCTCAAAACTTTAAGACATATCTAACCACTGGATCTGTTTCCAGGAGTAAGAGGACTGCAGGCGGCGAATGGCCCAAACCGGTAAGCATCAAGTGCCTCATATTTCACCTTCAAAAACTGCTTACTTATAATATCATCTGAACAACTTGGTATCACTGTAATACTGCAAGTGTGACTGTAGGGCAACTGATGCTACATATTGCAGATATATTTTAACAGCACGCTGGGAATAGTGACCACTGCAACCTGCTGGTAACTTAGAGACATAAGAAATATTTAAACATTTAAAAGATGAAAATGGGTTTGTTGTTATGCATCACTTGAAGATGCAGTCCTTACACACCGATAAATATTCGCCTTGCAGATAAGATGGGTTGAAGATGTACGTGTACCTGTTTAGTGTTAAATAAAGTGGCAAGTGAGAACACCAACGTGCGTGAACGTGTGTAGAAACGTCTTGGTTTCAACAGAAACTTAAAAATGCAATTAAAATTTAACATCCTAAGAGGATCAAGAATTTGAGTATTTTATTACACATACTCTTGCACGTTATCCGGATGCGTCGATCGTACAATACCTCGTGACTCACACAAGTAAGTGGTCTTTGCCTGCATTCCGACTGACCCTGCTCAGATGACAATTTGGGGAGCAGGAAAGAAAAATTGTATTTCATGTGTATGAGAACACAGAAGGTAAATTTGTAAGATTCTGCATTTTAACATTGAATAGTTGAACAGTCTCACTGTGCCACTATATATATATATGTATATATAAATTATTAGCAGCTTATTAGGAGGTATATTGACTCCAAATGAGATAGCATGCTAACGATGACTAATAAGCTAGAACACCGGTATTAGCAAATTAGGTATATTTTAGAATTTAATTATTATAATTGAGGACTTAATATACACATTGTTAACCACACGCAAATCGTGGGAAAGACTCTATTCTACCATTGATTGTCATTTAGGGTAACAATCTGTCAAATTGAGCATTGAACTTATATTTAAATTGTTGGAATTGATGGAAAAATTAGATGTAGTGTATATGATAAACAGACCATTTTTAGGCACAATTATGCTAAATATACATACATATATATACGCACGCACGCACGCACGCACGCATGCACGCGCACGCACACAAATGGGCTTTGATGTAGAATCTCATAGAACAGTGTAGAACTAATCTGTACTCTCATAAGCTGATAATATAATGTACGATATGCTTTTATTTACCTTTAATGATCCTTTTATGCCCTCGCCTTCTACTCTAATGACAACTGCCTTTGAATGTGAAGCTTGCGCATCTTCGCATGTGCAGACGAAAAGCACGGGCTTCAAGATAAATTTAGCCTCGGATTTGGGACTAAATCTCCATGTGTGTGCCTGGGAAGATTAACATGCTACAATCATCCACACCCAACTGCAACTAGATGTATTCTCAAGGCTGTCTCTGGTAATTACCATAATGGAGCTAATAATTCAAACCTAGATGTACATCAAGGCCATCGTTTGTAAATATCATAATGAAACTAACAACACAAAACTATGTGTATTTAATGGCCATGGTTGGTACGCAGCATAATGGGGCAAATAACAAAAACTGTTAACAGTAGCAGTTGTGCAGTACAACCTAAACCAGAAGTGAACAGGTGGCTTTGCGATATTAGTTCAGGCACACTGTGCGAGGAACTAGTGTGTAAACACCCACCTGCCACTCATTTGGTCCAATAATACCAGATTTTGGTTCAACGCTCAGCACCGTAGGATCAGCATCATCAAACCTCCATTCATATCTATGAGATGCAAGAATTTTTTTTAAATGTATTTAATCCACAGCAGCAATTTAGAACATATGCCACACAGCAAAAATATTATACAAATACGCAGAGTTATCATAGTATATTGCACGTTAAAACTATGCATTCACCTTAGAGGGACTTTACAAACATTTCTGACACTGTAACTTTGTTCTGATGTCGTATGGATGCAGGTTGGCTTAAAATACGTAAAGCCATCATTTTCCAACTCGACTTTTGGCAAGTCTGCTGAACCACTTAGTTTGATCACCTGTAATGGATGACATTTGTAACGTTTGCAAGATGCCTAGGCAAAATATATATTCCACACTATTTCTAATGTGGGTCTAATAATTGTAATGCTTCCCATATACTGCCAAACACTGAACTTTCTAAGCAGCCACTTCGTAAAATATTCCATCGCGGCATCATACTTGTGTGTTTCTACTATCATCATTCATCCTAAGTTGTAGAGTCTGTTCCTGCGCTCCCTTCCTAGCAGAATCCATTTCCAACACAAATATTTGATGCTGATCACGCAGCAGCCCTGTGCACGGCTTCACATGGAACATTCTGCAATATACAGTATAATCCATATTATGCATCTATATATGGATATATGTGTATATATATATATATGTATATATATATATATATAATACATATATATCGTATATGCATATATGTATTTCCTCTGCTTCCATTTCATCCCTCTGGTTCTCAGCGCCTATTATACGGCATTAAAACTTATATGCTAACTGCATATGAGCAAGCTTTATTAACATACCCTGGCGTGTCCTGTCTGATATCATACAGGATAGGTGCGCATCCCATGTTTTTAAGCATTATTGTAGAGTATGCTGAACCACCTAGTGGTACTGGTGGGAGGTGCAAGTGTCTGGGCAACAACTCAAATCTGGGAAGGAACGTCTCACTCCTCTGAAGAAATGTATGTCCTAAAACATTGATGATCATAACAGGGCTGTTAGAATTTAAATACATTTTCACAAGTTTCAATTGATATAACAACAAATGTGACTTTCAAGAAAAATCTGCATCGCAAATACACTGCAAATGCACTGCAAATACTACTCACATGTTTTGCGAAGAAATGACGAAAAATAACATTAAGAAATAATACCGTATGGACTGACAAACATATATATGAAGTTTTAAACCATAAGCACATTACATCTCAGGAAAAATGACAATGTTGAGCAAATGCTGACCCAAAGGAAGCATTTTTATTGGGCTAATAGTTGCTACCACAGCTAAGCCAGCCTTTTGCTCATCAGCCAATTTTGGTTCATATATGAAATGAAGTCAAAGTAATAGCAGGAAAACAACGCTCACCTGTGACACCAAGGGTGAGGCACCAGGGTGGATATACTACACTTCCTTCCAGCGGCTGGCTATTGCTTACAGACTTGTAAAAAGCATAGCACTCCAGCACTGCCCCATAGAATTGACCTTGCACTTCCTGGAGCAGGATATTGCCATGTCGTATTATATACGCAAACATACATTTATGCATAGATATATTTTTTAGCAAAAGAACATTATTATCTACATAAGCGATTTCATTTGAGGAAGAAACTAAACAAGTATTACTGTGGTAAAAATATAAAGAATTAATAAAATGTTCTAATAACTAGAAATAGAAAGAGTTCTTTAGAATTTATGAAAGAGTTCTATGGTAAATTTGTATAATTTATCCCACAGAGTGGTTACTCCTAACATATCTGTGGAAACATCATTCATCTTCATTGACATTGCATACACGTACAGGCAAAAGTAAATGTCGTTTTGCCTGCAAGCTGCATCTCACTGCATGGCGAGTTAGTAATGATTCATGTTACACCACAGTACCGGTTTAAAGGTGACCCAAAATGATGAGGATTTCAGAGGAGGAATATCACAACGCCTTGGAGTCACAGAAAATGCATGGTCAGGACCTGCGAAGATCATTAAAGGTCAACATTATCTATTCAGTTTACATGCACACGTGCGTGCGTGGTCTCACGTGTATGCACTCACGCACACACACACAGTCATAGTAGCTATTAAATGAAGTTGAATAGTAAATTAGTGAGATTAACTAAAACTAATGAAAAGGAACTACTTATTTATGTAGAAGTAGACATGTATGTGTCAGTCTATCTAACTGGACATCTATCATGTAATAATTTACACAAAATTACAGGTATTTAGAGCCATTTGTGCACTGATTTAAACACACACACATGAAAAAATAAAGGTGCTTACTTCCCATCCAGATACAGGTGATTTTGGACTTTGTATGATTAGTGACCGTCATGCCCTTAAAAAACACAGCATTGTCATTACTAACCTGATTTCCCCATCTATGATTTTCCAACTTTACCGAACGATTCAGTGGTATGCCATAGGTTGTGAGCACAACAGAGTACAATCTTCTGTATATGAGTATAGCTTCATGCGACACTATAAACAGCTAAATCCACACAATTATAACCTGGATACATGTACTAGAAGATATGTCCTTTTCAGTTCTTACCTTTGGTTCAATACAAGCTAGGTCTGTGCATCTTCCAAACGTCATCTCTCTCACATCCATGCTAACATGAGGTTCCTTATGCTACAAAGAACACATTCTTATTCAGCAAGTTTGCTAAAATATAGATACCATATATTAATGCAAAAGCATGACTATGGAGAAAAACATAATAAAGTCAAACTAGAGGTATATCTATCAAATACCCTTAGATCAGAGAAATAGCCATCATGGAAAAGCTCATCATATGTCAGTGCTGGCAGCAGAGTAGGGCAGGTGTATTGTTTGCCTTCAGTAGTACTAGCTTTACCAGCCATCATTGGCAAGGTACTAGTCTCCGAATTCGTCTCTCCTTCGTTTAACATGCTGTCAAGTTGCTGTATAAAGTCACAAGTTCCACAGTATATTAATTTCTTGAGTTATGAACACTAAGTAATTAAGGTTTAAAATACATATAGATCTTTAGATATTGTTTACGAATAATCAAACAAAGTTGAATTTACTAGAACATGTTGCAGTCAGCCCTTGCTTTTAATGAAATGATAAACCATCACATGACTGCAATTCTGTAGTAATTTTATACCTCAGGGGAGTAGACAGATAAGCCCTTCTGTACAAGTGCATGGTAATGCTGCAGGTGATGTTTCTGCAGAATAGCTGGCTTTACGTTTTCGCTGTGGTATGTTCCCATGACATCCACAAACAGAGGACCCTTGCCAAAATATAGGTTATCAAACATACAATAACCTGTATATATATTACAAATCAGAGACTCATTCATAAACACATCTACTTATATTATTTGCCTATACTTACAAAACGTTTTTACACATGCGTGCCACATAACATCTCTGCTATCATATCAACTGCTATTCGTTAACGCATTTCTGTGTTACTATGCTTATTGCACAGACAATGAAAACACAGGTAATTCGATGGTGTACAAACGAAGACGCGATTTAAGCATGCAGAAATACAATAAATCTCTATATGTTAAATGTCTACACTACAGTTTACCTGATTGTGAACGATGCAGATAAGTCTTCTGTAGTAGATTATAGGTTCAGATGGTTTGAAAGTAACAGTTAGAGTTTTCGACGATTTCGGTTTCAGAATGCCAGACACCTGATTTATACTAAACGCACTCTCTGAGCAATCAAGGTCAAACTGAAAAAAAATAGAAATAGCACTAGATTTTTATAATTAAACATTACAATTAACTAACACGTAGATATCTAGAGATATAAATGTGAAACCGAAACAAATGTTAAAAATGAGAACCACACAGATTTTCATTCTATTATTCATATGTTCAGATGTTCATAATCGCGACCATCAGGTATAGGGTGTGCAGAGAAGGCTGGGGTGCATGCTTATAATTCAAGAGGGCATGTAACGGTGTGTGGTAGGCTTTGTGAACCTCGGAGTCGCCTATAGCAGTATCAAACCGTACGCGTGGGGAGATAGGGTGCAAGCTCGTCTGACCTGGCTGACTCACGTAAGCTATTGAGCGGATGAGGCCTGAGAGGTAGTAGTGCGCAGGAAGCCACGCGAAATAGAGCTCGAAATGGTGTGTGTGGCTAGGGCTAGGAAATCGCCGTATTTTTTGTTTCCCAGGCCCAGAAATAGGCCAATGAGAGCAGCGTGCAGGTGGCTTGCACTCTTGTGTAACTCGAATAGGCAGGCATCGCAGTGAGCATAAACACGGGGGCATTGTAGCAAGTAAGCAAGAGGCAAGCTTCGGAATCTGGATGGCTGATGTACCCGATGTTAACTCAACTAATGACAATTGTTAGCATATATATATATATATATATATATAAACAAAGTCAAAGTAGAGAATAAGGGTGTTTAAAAAGTTTAATTGACCAAGAACTAATTAATTAATCCGTCAATTAAACTTTAAACATCCTTATTCTATACCTTGACTTTGTTTTTATCTACACGGGTGTTCGTGTGTGACTTTACTTCTATATATATTATTATATTTATATATACCAATACTATACACTATATACTAACACTATAACACTCTACTATTATATGTTATATGCTATATACACGATTAAACTACTGTTGCTACTACACTACTACACTATGTATTAGTTGCTGTTTATTTGGTATACATTTTCGCAGCTGTTCAAGCTTGCTACGCTCGCGGTAGGAGCGTGCAGGCATGTGATCAACTGTAAAGGCTCAACCGGCAGGTAAAGCTCACGGTAAACCAGTAGAAGCTGCGTGTGTGTAATAGCCGGTAGCTCACAGCGTGTAGCCTGTGCTGCGGAATGCGCGCCTACGTGTGATAAGGCGCTGCAGGACATGAATCTGTTCATCAGTGCATTTGTAAGTAAACTCCCCCGTGCATTAACTAAGTTACACGTCGAAGTCGTGTGTTATGTGCCTGTCGTTCATAATAGCGTAGCATTGCGGGCGTGCATTGTGTGACGTCCATCCTCTGCCTAATCAATGAAAACTTCTGTCACCAACCTTATCTGTAATAGGAGTTAGGTGAGTGAGCTCTAGGGGAATGTCCCATCCCATCCCACAGGGGCTCCCCCACCAACAGTGCTAGGCAGGCAGATCTGGGGCGGATATACACATTGCTATTTACTAGGTCAGAAGATCAATGGGAAATATGTACGTTACATGCAGAATAACACGAGTGTGTAATAACCGATATATCCGCGCATATACAAAGAGCGAGATATACAAAATGGGCTCACCTGGTAATATGCAAGCGCATCAGAGCAGTTGCAGATCTCTAATGTCTTGCTTGCTTTACACTCAACTTGCATGAAATTAATGCTATCTGATGATAACTTGACCTCTGGTCCTAGACAATTTGTTTCATATGACATGACATCATTACAATAAACTTTACGTTCAAGCAGTTCAATGACTGACTAGAATTATGATAGAACTAGACAGAGGGCACTCACGGAGAGTGCATACCTCCACCAGAATGTAACATGTATGTGTATAACAGCTGGCTCGCTGCTGGCTGCTGCTGACTGGATGCCCTAAGGCGAGCTGCTGCTGACTGGACGCCCTAAGGCGAGCTGCTGCTGATGCTGACTGGACGCCCTAAGGCGAGCTGCGGCTGACTCGACGCCCTAAGGCAAGCTGCTGCTGAATCGATCGCGTGAACACTAGTGGCTACACACACACACGAACACACACACGAGACCGATTACATTACCTCCTTGGCGGAGGTAATAAGTTAGTCATGTGCAATTTATTAATCCCTAATACATATACTTTTGTAATGACTCTATGTGAATTAGTACAGGGTGCCAAAAAAAAAAGTACATTATTTTCTATTTACCTTTTCCAGCGCCAGTACATTTGATGGTGATCTTTGAGGTGTCGTTGTTTGCTTGAAGCTCGAAGTATTCTGTATATTTCATGCCGACAGTTGCCGGTGAAAAGGTGACCTATTAATTAAAACAGATGGAGAAGTTGGTATGAATGCTGGACAGAATAAAGGCAGAAACCCTAACCATATGCTATTTACTGGTCTATGAATGTTTGCATTTGTATATATAAACGGTCTTTTTTTGTATCTATCAGGGGCGGCGCCACGGTTTTCAAAGTGGGGGGGCCCAATTGAGAGAATGAAGCGACCATGCCGGGGGGGCTGAGTTATTCGGGAGCGAAGCGCCAGAGCGAGGGAGCCAGACGATCGAGCGGGGGTGGGTGTGACGACAATTTTGCACTGAAATGGAGCGATCTGGTGCACATCGAAGGTGAAC